TTGGTAAACATTTCAATTTTTGTTGGTGAATATGATGTTTAAATCTTTTGCTTTATGAATGTGAGTTTTTAATTAAGATTGATTTTGGAATTTTTTTGGTATTTTTAAATAGTATTTGTAAACATTTATATCTATTATTTAGTAAAAACTACTAAACAACTCACTGGGGGTAAATTGGTTATTTTAACCAGTTCTGTCATGTCCTGTCATGTCTTACCAAACGCCGAACAGCTGTCCTGCCCTGTCCTGTCCTGTCTGCGCACCAAAAGCACATGCTATGACCATCCTTCCTTGAAGTTTTATTGGATAGAAAGAAGGACTTCGTAATATGGCCCAACGTTTCTTCAAAATACCAAAACACCTTTCTATGATATTCCTAGCTTGTGAGTATTTCATGTTAAAATATTCTTCCTTATTTGAAGGTGTATGACCAATGTGTTCCCATTCTCGTAAATGATACCTAGTACCTCTATATGGTGCCAAAAATCGGTTACCATTGACATATCCTGCATCAACCAAATAGTAATTACCCATTGGGACTTTTAAACCACTATTCTATGTAACTGCATCTCGTAGTACCCTAGAATCGGTAGCTGAACCTTCCCAACCGGATAAAACATAGATGAAATTCATGTTCCGAGTGCATGCACCTAATACATTAATTGCAATATGACCCTTTCTTGTTCGATATCGTGGTTTATCGGACTCATGTACAGTCACTTCAATGTATGTTCCATTTATTGCTCCTAGACAACCCTATAAAGAAAATAACTTGGTTTTAGCTAAATGGTAATTTTTTTATATTACAAGTAATGAGAGAAGTTAACAAGGATTACCTTAAACCATTTCCATCTTCTGTCGGTACAATCATCCTCTACCGGAGTTGGTTTGCTAAACAAAATGTCTTGCACTCGCAACAAAGCACTTAAAACTCGATGAACATACCTACTAATTGTTTCTCCCGACCTATATAATCTAACTTGAAGACATCTATTTTTGGTGTGATGTGCTAAAATGTTTACAAATGTAGCAACTTGTTCTTCAATTGTCACGTTACCATCATCTAATAGTCCACCACGTGTTTTTAGCAACTCACACAAAAGAGCAAATGCATTCCTATCTATTCGCAACTCATTTGCACAAATAATGTCACTTTCACGTGTGATGCGTTGGATTTCTATCGATCTAATTTGCAATCTAGTGAATGTTCTTTGTCTTAAAGTTCTCCTCCGATCATCTCTTTGTTCATGTTCAATTACCCAATTTGCGAAGTTGACCAAAAGTATAAGCAAGTCGATGTAAGCTTTCAACACTTTAACAACTACAAGTAGATGGTTCCGATCCATTCTACATTAAAAAAATGAGATGCAGTCACTATAAATTGAACTACCAAAACAACCAAAATAGCAACAAAAACCCTCTCTTAAAAGATTAACACATAATATGTGAATATGAGATGTAGTCACTATAAATTAACACATAATCTGTTAATCCATTTACCCCTAAAATAGCAGCAAAATTTCATATAGTGCCAAAACAACATCAAACATAGCAAACAACAGATTGGGTAATTGAACATAGCAAACATTGCAAAACAGCAAAACCGGCTGTTTTCTGGTAAACATAGCGATGTCTTATTTGGTGGTAATAATCTGCAAGTTCTGAAAAACAACCTTGCTAGCTATAACATCAAGCCAAGATAAGGTCAAACCCATTAAGTATTCTTCTAACATCTGGGAATCTAAGTGAAAGAAAATCAAAAAGGGGAATTTGGAATTACTTTGGAATCAAATCAGGAGGTTCCACCATGTGCTGCTGAAGAGTGTGGGTGTGAATAATAATGGGTATGGAGAGAGAAACCATATTTCAAAAAAAAAGGGTGTCTACAGCTTTTCTAAAACCAGTAGTTATCTTCATGGTATGATTTCTGGTAATCATGCATAGCAAATCGAACAGCCAATTAATTTGGACTATTATCTTCATGGTATGATTTCTAGTAATCAAACATAGCAAATCGAATCAAACAGCCTATTTAGGGCAATTGATTCATACATATCATACCTTAAATCGATTCATACATATCAAACCCTAAATCGAATCAAACCTTTAGAGAAATCGATTCATACATATCAAACCCTAAATCGAATCAAATAGCCGATTAAAGAGCTCGTCCAGCAGAAGGCAGACTGTGTGTATGGAGCTCGTCGAGATGAAGGCGGAGTGTGTGTACCTGTAGAACTCATCGAGACGAAGGAGATGAAGGTAGAACTTCCGTCGCCGGCGAGATGGAGCGTCTGCGTATGGAGGAGCGACGGGGAAGGATACGGTCTACGTATGCGATAGGAGGAGAGCGATGGGTAGATTTGTAAAAAGATACCTTGTTCCACTTAGTTCTAGGGGGGTAAGGGTGAACACCCGTGTCCCAGTTAGTTCCACCTAGTTCCATTTAAAAACACACCAAACGTGGGACAAGTGTGTCCTGTCCTGTCCTGTCCCACCCTGTTCCACGTACCAAACACACCTTAAATGGACTGTTTTGTGTTTAGAAATATGAAGTTAAAGGGGTTTTTTTCGGCTAAAAATCAACAGCTACGGGGCTGCTTTCTGGCAAAAAATCGGCATCTAGCGAAGCTGTTCCATGGATAAAAAGAATAGCTAAAGGGCTATTTTGATGCTAAAGATCAGCAGTTATGGGGCTGTTTTGTGGCTAAAAATCAGTAGCTAAAGGAGCTGTTTGGTAGATAAAAATCAGCAACTATAAGGACTGTTTGGATGCCGTCTTGAGACTGGTTTGGGCCTTGTTTAGAGGCTGTTTAAAGTTGTCCTAGGGGATCTTTACAAATGTTTTGGGAAGCATTTAGGACATGTTTAGAGGGTCATTTACATCTGTCGTGAGACATGTTTTGTTAAGTTTATATTCTATGATACATTAGTCCATCATTTATTAAAGATGTCAATCTTTGTTGAATTTACTATTTGTCCACTATCAAATATCCCATCTATCTTTTTCTTTCTCACAAAGAAATCTTTCTGCATCTGCATTATGCAACCTTGTTTTAGCATCGGTTCTCCATATCATGATTTCCCTGTTCCTAAAGACTTATGTGTTAAAGAGGATGTTCTTGTATATTATTGTAGAAGGTAATGCATTAAGTACTTTGTTTTCTGTTTTTTGATGTTTAAACTTATTAAATGTTTTTAGTTTTAATTACTTGAGCAGTTTTAGGTAGGATGATGTTTTAGTTACTACAGTTAGTTGAGCAGTTTTAGTTACTACCCTTTGGAATCCACTAAAAACAGTCTTGGGTAACAGTTTTGAGAAGCCCATTCCGTGTAGATACAAGGAAGTCGAGAAGTAACATTTCTTATGCTGCTAGAATTATGGTGTATGTGCATCTGTTGGAGTGTCCTTAGAGACGAATGTGGTTGCAACAGGGATGGACACTAATCTTTATAAAGACATCAAGACCTTTGTGCCAAACTTCACTGTTAGATTTGTATATCGTTCATTCAAGTGTCATCACACTTCTACACATGCTTTTTTAATCAGATTAGTAATGTATGTACATATTAGCAATGTATAAATCTTTCTCCACCCAAATATCCAAACATACTTGAAAGCACTTGTTATATAAGTAACTTGTGATTCTATTATTTATTATTGAAGGAAAAACATTCTTGATTCCCTGTTTTTAGCGACCATTTGCATAATAATGATTGATATGTGAGATACAACCTACATTTAGATTAGAAACAGAGAGAATTTTTAGTTGGTTGGAAAGCTTTGATTATAATTGATTAAAAGCGTTTTTATGGTGATATGCGCTTTTTGTTGCAGTTTATGCTGGCCTGGAAGTAAGCAACTGACTCTCTTGTGTGTATCAATGAATTTCAGTTTCGTGTTTTAAAGATGGTTTTCTTGTGTTCGATCGTTCTCAGTAACAAATATCAATACTTGTACTAATTTACAAACCACTGTTGGTTTCTTACATTTTCCTTTCATTTGTTTCCCCTTTTTTGTTTGATATTGGATATAACCAATGCAATAGAATACTGATGCAAATAAGCTTTTTCTTGGTAGGTACCAACCATTCCATTTAGGATGTCAGCTGGTATTCTATTTGGCCCTCTCACCGGCACAATCCTTGTCTCTATAAGTGGGATTGTAAGTTACTGAACAAGATGTTTACAAAACCACTGATATTGTAGACAAATAAATAACTGTGACTTTGCATATCTTAAGCAAGTTTGGAATGAAGATCTAAATTCAGGACAACTTGTTATTTCACTATTTGAACTGTTTGGTGAAGGCATTATGTCCTTCGTTCCGGCACCTAAAATGTCTTTGTTTCTATAACCGTAAGTAACATTTTATTTGTTAATCAAGATTCTTGTTATTTCTTTCGGAGTACAAAGAACCAAAATTTGGGAAAAGTCATGCAGGAATTGAAGCTGGGAAAACATGTTATTTGATCAGGAAAGAAACCCAAATACGATTAAGCATTCACCATCTGAATCGTTGAATTGTCAGGTTTAGTCGATCATGATCAATCGATCGGTTGGTATTGAAGCTGGTGAATCAGTCTTTGAATGCTTTGTCATCATCATCTAGAATCATCTTTTTTTGGCTGTTCTCTATTTATTTATCTATCATGATGAAATGCTATTTTAGGCCTATGGTTTTGGTGAAAGGAATATTTCTACTATATCTTCAAGGGGACCAATGGAAGGATATTCAATCATGGGAAACTCTAGCGGATCGCCACTCCATATATACCCAACAAAATCCTTCTCCAAGAAACACTACCTCATCATCCCCTATACAACCTGATCGTACTAAAGAAAACACCAGTCCTTCATTGCCTATTCATTCAGAATCTGGTCCAAAAACACCACTCCTTCGTTCAGTTCTTCCACAACAGATTCCAACACTACTCCACAAGCTCAAATTCAAACAGATCCCAATACAATGAGCAAAGAATTCAAGGTTTACAAAAGAAGAAAAGTTGGGAATATAGAGACCAATATGCAAGTAAAGGACTGCTCAAAAGTTGCTCTGATCCCTTTTAACCTTGAAGATCATAGTGTAAGAACTCTATGACTCATGAGTTAATCTTCGTCCCTTGATGATCTTTACTTACCTATTGCTCATAGAAAAGGTACCGGAACCTGTACAAATCACCCTATAGAAAGGTATGTTTTCTTACGAGAAACTTACACCAACTTTTCGAGCATTTGTCTCTTCTCTTGATCTGACTTGGTACCCACAAACATCAATGAGGCCATGAAACATCCCAAATGGAAGGTAATGGACAAATGGACTGATGCATTTCCTAGATGCATCTTGGTTGATGACTGGCAGAAAAAAGTATCAAATGGACAAACTTTATAGATTGAAACATAAATTTGGTGGACGAGTTGTATAGTTGTATTTAGTTATTTGTAGAGAGGAAGGGATTACAATTTCGATATTTTGAATGCGGTATTTATAGTTTTAAGTGATGTTGGTCAAGCAAGGGTTGCTGGTGTCCCTGCATCAACTTGTACATCGTCTGTTGAAAACCATGTTGCCTATAAATACCAGCAGGCCACATTTACATACATACTTGTTAGGATCACAAATCATCTGCTTTTCTGGATATTTTCAATTTAACTGCAGAAAAGTTGGGATTCAAGTTTATGCTGTAAAAAGGTAAGTTGGTTGTTACTAATGAATACATAATGCTTCTCCATAAATCCATCATTTGCTATGTCATGTATGGACCGATTGTTGATGCTTATGTGTAAAAGTGGCATAGATAAATCATTTGCATAAAAACACTATGGTTTTTAAACAGCTGTCAATATATACACATTCTTTTTCCTGTGCATGTGTCAATAAGAAATGTTTGGAAAAAGTAGCTTATAGTACCTGTCTTTCTCTCTTCGTCACTACTTTCTCTTGATCAAAATCGTTTAATCATAGTTCCAAATGCTACTTGCACAAATCCTGCTACTTGAACAAATCATTAAAATTGATCCATGTTCTTATGCTTTGGGATTGTGTTTGGATARTGCAAGCATATGACATGTGTCATAATACATTGCACTCCTCAATTAATTTTTAAAAAGTGGTAGCTAAAGGGACGGTTTTGTGTGTAAAAATCAGCACCTAAAGGGGTTGTTTTGTTGCTAAAGATTAGCAGCTATGGGGCTGTTTTGTGGCTAAAATTCAGCCGCTAAAGAAGCTGTTTTGCAGATAAAAATTCAGCAACTATATGGACTGTGCAGGCCCGAAATCGGCTAAAGGGACTGTTTTAAGGGTTGTGTAAGCTGTCCTAAAGAGCTATTATCAAATGCTGAAAAGTATTAGAGATTAGGCATTCAAAAGTATTAAAAAGTGGTAGCTAAAGGGACGGTTTTGTGTGTAAAAATCAACACCTGAAGGGGTTGTTTTGTTGCTAAAGATCAGCAGCTATGGGGCTGTTTTGTGGCTAAAAATCAGCTTCTAAAATAGTGATATGCCTTGATTATATGCACCTTATTCATGAATGGACTTTGGTACCGTAGGAATGTCTAGATGTGCACCAGACACTGTGATGGTGTAAACAACCCCCCCCCCCCCAAGCATGTAAGCAAGTTGCATCATATCATACACACACGCACATCTGGACACATGTTTGAAACTGCATTCTATTTCCATTTCATCTTATACACACTCCCTGTGACTGCTGTAATGCACACAACACCATCTTATTAATCGGTTTGTTGATATGTTATAGATCTTTTGCTTGCACGGAGGACTTTCACCTTCTTTGGACACACTACACTAGACAACATTCGACCCTTGGACCGCATACAGGAGGTACGTGAACTGTTTTCCTTTTTCATGCTTTGAAATGCATTTTCTTCATTACATGCAAAGATCTCATTCATGCTTTGCTAAAAATGTTCATGAATTCATAGACAACCAATTCCTAATATTAGAATTGTTACACTTTGTGAAAAAATTGTTATTTGTAGTTATCCTTATATGACTCTTGGCATGCAAAGAGTGAAATAAGCAAGTTCTTAGTTGATCAAGTTCTATTTCCATTTCATCTTTACTTGAAAATGCTTAGTCAAAGAGATTGATTTGGTAAATACCGTCTATTTTCCATCTACATGCATTTTGTTAGCATCGCTGTGATTAGAAATGACTTAAGACTACATAAGCCACGGCCCTAAGCCATCATAAGTCACGCAAGCATTCTTTTTTAAGGTCCAATTAGAAATGATTCTTCTTGTGTTTGCATGATTCGAAAACATGTTGTCCAAGCATTGTTTGGAAAACATGTTAGGGTCCAAGTTGTTTGCATGATTCGAAGATAACATAATATATGCTTTCTTATTTCTGCTTAATTATTCCAGTTTGCCTATCAAGAACTTTTACGTGATGAATAAGGTATAATCAACAATTATATTATTACACATTTGGTACCATATGTTTCTATTGCGCTGTTTTTTGCAGGAAATATTTACGGATGAGTGCATCACGAAAAACAAACAATAGTTTGGATATACGGATGAACATTATTTTACAAACGATTGTATTTCTTTGTTCAGTCAAAATTTCAAGTTTTGTAATGAGCTCTGAGTAGATAGGTTCAGAAACCCGACATGTGTGCAATTTTTTTTTCATTCAATCTTGTTAATACATCATATTAATCTTCAACTTTATATATTAGTTGACTTGTAAAATAACCACACAAACTCATGATTCAAGGCCAAACTAATGTTTCCGGGTTGCGATTTTGCAGGGCGGGTACATCACTAGTAATATAGTATGTATATATATATATATATATATAGAGAGAGAGAGAGAGAGAGAGAGAGAGAGAGATGGATTATTATACAACCTCTTACATTTGTACAACTCAATCTCAACCGTCCATTTAATTTGATGAATATATAATTTCATATAAATTTTTATTTTTTTCCTAATATAAAGTATTGATCATAATTAATGTACCTTATTCATCTTCCATAAATATTTAAATCATAATAAATGAACTCTTATCATTTTCATAAATATTTCAATTTATTAGATTGCATTGGTTGTACAAATACGATAGATTGTATTTGAAACAAACTATATATATATATATATATATATATATATATATTCTTTTCTTTCTATAGCATACGATGGGAATCATCTTCATTGTTTTCTCCATTTCTCAACACTAGCATTGATCGATTATAGTGTTTGTTGTTCCATTGAGAGTTCGAGTTTATTGTTTCTATATTATAAACATGCTCGAGTTTATTTTGGGTCTGAAGTAAATTCGACTAAGGTTTTACTCAATTTCGATCTCGGTTTTTTGGGTTGGATCGAGTTTGGCATGGTCCATATTTGTAACATTTTAAAACTTATATGTTGTTCGACGTTAAACATTAAGACATTACCCATTAAAGTTGACATACTTTAAATCTTGAATTATGCCTTCATCCCAAAATAAATATCCACAATAAAAAAAACACAAATTTTTAATTAAATGAATTTTATACTATATTCTTTATTTTACAAATGACAATTTTAGCCTTAATGATATAGACAAACTTTCTCTCTCCATCGTACAAATCCTACAAATTGGGTAAGAGTCTCATACCCATTAAGAGGCAATGAGTGTTTAATATAAGAATCTTACCCCTGTGCAAAGAATCATCACCCTGACTTACAAAGTAAGATTCTTGGATAACAAAATGCCACTGTAAAATTGTTGGACAAGTGTCTCAAACCAAGTAAGAAGCAACAAGTGCTATCGATAAAGCATTTAATAGACAACCCTAACTTATAACTAAATAAAGGTACAGTTGAAAACATAGTAAATTATATCCTCTTGCTCCCAAAATAAATGTCCACAATAAAATAAAACACACGGTTTTAATTAACAAAAGGACCATTTTACTCTTAATGATAGATAGAGACTTTCCATGTCTCATAATCAAGATGAAATAGGAAAGTAGACATTTACTTTTAAAACACAACATTTATTTTAAGACAAACTAAAATAGTAATGTAAGACAGTAATATTGGGACGGAGGGAGTAACTACCTGCTTTTTTTTGGTAGACTAGGAAAGTATGCCCGTACTTATACATTGAATTGAAGATGCGACCTAACATCACTTTGTTTAGTTGCTACAGCTTCCGGTTTTACAGGGTGGAATGGTTAATCTGAAGATACTTACCAAACCATTCCAAAAGATCCTGATGAGCCTCTTCTGCACATTTCACAGCTGCTTCGTCTTCATCTTTATATCGGACGGTCCAACCATGTGAAACCCCAGGATATATCTTCACAAACTGATCAACCTGCATATCCATACCCATACCCATCTAAATGTAAATAAATTATATATACAGAGTGCTCAACCAGCATAAATGCACATATCTATGGTGTTTTCGCGATTCACATTCAGTAAATGGGGGAAACAGCAGCTCTATCCTTCAGGGTAGAAGACGGATCTACGTACATCTCACCCTCCCTCCCCAAAAAAAAGAAAATACAGACGCTAGACCCCAAGATAAACTGGAACCGTTTGGTTTGGTATTCCAATAAATGGGCATGGATTATGAAACACAAAATGTGCATTCCCACTGGGTACAAGGAATTACCTCCGGTTTGGCTTCCAAAGCCTCCTCGAATTGTTTGATAACTTCAGGGGGTGATCGTCGGTCAATCTCAGCACCTAGTATTGCAATAGGTACCTTGACCCCTAAAATTCATCATGTCAGGCAGACAAAAATTCAAGTTCAAACACAAAAAAGAAGAAAAAGAAAAGCATAGACGGCCCAATTGAGTAGCTCTTAACTTCAAAGTTGAAACTAATAAAAATTCATCTAACTCTTTAGAATAAATTAAAGGGCGATCTGCATATATAGAAATTACAAGTGACCAAATAAATGATGCTAAGATTCAGACAAAAACAAATTGACCTTTTTGAGATAAATACTAGGTTTTACCATTAAAAAGTCAAACATGAACCCTTTCTAGAACAGATGGATTATGATGAATTATGTTGAATGAAACATACCCTTGATATCATCTAAAGTGACAAAAGAAGGATGCAAGAGCACAGCAACTTGTATATCAGTATCTTTTGCTAGCTCCACAACAACCTTGGCTATTAAAAACAATTGACGTGATTGGATCAGCAAACAATAATTGAAGCAAGTGTTTATCAACGTGTTTGGAAGCTAATCTTACCACCCCAACAGAACCCTGCAGCCCCAATTTTGGTAAAACCCTTCTCTTTGAGAGCCTGAATAACTGGTTTGGCAAAGTCAACTGCTTGATCCTACAAAAAGAGAAAGCACCATAGAAAATGAAGAATGGTATTTAATATCGTATATGATTAATGCAACTTGGGAATGAAATCAAGCGACAGTAGCATCAAAAGAGAACAAAATGATTCAGGAATCCACCCACAAGTAAAACTAATCCTCTTGACACCTGTATTTCAATTTTTCAGATATGTATCACGGATTTTATAGTGTGTATTACAAAGGTGAGAATTTTGGGCCAAGCGTCTTATTGTAATTTAAGTGAGTCAATGATTGTACTCTTGGATTACGAAATACATTGGGCCTAAGTAGTTATGTTGAGCATAATTACATTGGGGAAATTGTAATGGAAAAAAAAGACACTTTGTGTCAAGATACACTTTAATAGGTTTAGTTTTCTTAAGGTCCCAAATTTAATTCTTGAAAAGTGAACAGAAACCTTGGCACATTGTTTATATAGGCTAGAGGCTTCTTGCATGTTCAGGAACTGAGAAACTCTAGCATATTTGTTGTAGCTTGTGTAAAGATGATGCCAAGATGTTCTTTATGCATCAAATTTAGAGCTTATGGTATGTCTCCTGTGTTGAGTCCCAGGAAGTAATGAACTGGGTTATGTTTCCTTGCATGTTTATTTTGGAAGAAACACATTGGTAAATTGTGTAAAATTTTGGGGGTAATAAGAAATTGCATATATTTTCAAGAAATAATTTAATTGAGTAAAATTAGGTTATGTTTTGTGGTCATAAATTTGGGTGGATACATGGTTATGTTATTTAACTCAACGAATAGAACAGAACAGGAAGAAAATTCGAAATTGGCAAATGGTTAAAGCCATATTCGATACCACTGGGAGCAGTAGTGGATACTATTGACCACCATATGTGGCATGATCATGTGTCTTACTTGGCATGGTTTCACATTTTTTCTGGGGAGCAAGTGTCTTGACAATGCATGTACGGAGAGATGATATAATTAGTAATTGATAAGCATAAATCAAGTAAGAAATGGCTAAATGCATAGAAGTGAGATAACATACATACAAACACACACACGCATAACACATATACTTGGTGTATGATAAATTGATCAAAGAATATTTTTCAGTTATAGGTAGAAGGAACTTTCAAGAACTTCAAGCAAGTGCCAAGTCAAACCAAGACCAGATGTGTTTCATGTGTGATTTAGAAAACTGGAATACAAGTTAAGATTCCATTTTAAAGTATTTGTAAAGATTCATTTGTCATGCTACATCTTATTTTTATGATGAGTTTGGAATTCCGCTTTTGTGCATAAATGTTGAGATTTTGTTTGAAATACATGAAGACACTTTGATTAGGAAGAATCAAAGAAGACCAGCACTTGCTTGTAGTGGTTAGAAGTGGAATACATGGACAGAATGGTTGCATATGGGTTTATCCAGAATCGAAGCAAGAAATAAGGGGAAAGAGAAAGCAACAAGATTAGAAAGCACAAGACAGACGGATAAAACTTCGATCTAGGAGATAGAATATATGTATGGAAATCCATATGAGAACTTTGTTTGTAGGTGTAAGCCGTAAGGTGTGTTTATAGAAGCAGATTCGGGTAATACCATATGTATGTTAAAGCTATTAGGACAAAAATTATATATTCTCAGCATATGTGGCATAGAAGTAACGGATTGTAAAAAATATGCTTTAAATATTTTACTCTGATGACATTAGTAATTGTGCATGGTTAAATGGTATTTTTGACACGATACCCCAAGGCTAGGATCTGGGTGTAAGTTGTAACATCCTCCATTCCGAATTAGAGATGCATTTTGGCTTCTAGGCTCGAACAAATTACACTCCCTCTCCATATTAATAAGGATTTCATTGAAAATTTTAAAATCAAGTATTCATGGTATTTTCTTGAAATTTAAATGTAGATATCATTTCTTTCTTGAATATTTAGCTAATTAACATCTTTTGAACTTTAGAACATTTGAACTTGTAAATCATAAATTGCCTCTTCATTTGGGAATTGGATGAATAACAAAATTCAATTGATAACAAGATGTGTATTAAAAAGATAACTAACCGGTGCATGACTTGTGAGCCAATCTTCTATCCGAGTTTCAGGAGTCATGGGATCCCCATGAAAGAAGTCAGGAACAACCACATAATATCCAGCAGACGCAGCTTTGTCTGCAACTTTCCTACAAAGATAAATTAAACACTGTAATCTTAGTTCCCAGAAGAGTATATCAGCACTATGTGCATAGCTTCTCTTACACCTGCAACTAATCAATAAATTAAGCCACAAATGTTTTTATGTACAAGATTAACTTAATGAACATTCTTGGTCTTCTGCAGTAGAGCATCAATCACTACCATAATCAGCCAACATTTTCTTGAGTTCATCATATCTTATGTGCAACTCCATCAGCAACCCCAAAGGCAGTTTAACAGCAAGATAAAATTATCCTGTTCTAGACATTAAGGCTGCATTTGGTACATGGGACTATACAGGACAGGACAGGACAGGACAGGACGGGACAAAACTCACTGTCCCACATTTGGCACGACATGGGACAGGACAAGAACTCACTGTCCCACGTTTGGTGTGACATGGGACAAGGACAATAATTGCGACAAGGTGGGACAAAAAAGGCTTTTTCTTGTTCCACCAAAATAGGTGAAACAAGATGGGACAAAAATGAGAGAGAAACTAAAATATTACTAACTAACCCTCGTTTGATATATTACCTTAACATGGTATTTGTTTTAGTGGTCACCACCGCTAGTTACGACTGCCGCCACCACTGGTAGCCACCGTCGGCAACCTCCCCCTCCTCCACCACCTCCACAACCACAACCACCATCGACTACCACCGTCTATCACCACCTCCACAACCACCATCAGCCACCTACCACCACCGTCTATCACCAACTCGACAACCACCACCGTTGGCCACCTCCACCTTCTCTTCTACTACAACCACCTCCTCCACCACTTCCACAACCATCGTCGTCCACTGACCACCACCACCACTACCACCGTTGGCCACCTCCACCTTCTCTTTCACTACAACCTCCTCCACCACCCCTACAACCATCGTCGTCCACTGACCACCACCGTCCATTGCCACCACCACTACCATCGTTGCCACCTCCACTTTCTCTTCTACTACAACCTCCTCCACCACCACCTCCACAACCATCATCAGCCACCAACCAACACCGTTCATCGCCACCACCACGGCCCACCACACCTCCACCATTGGCTACCATTACCACTGCCTAACACCACCACCGGATACCACTACCACCATCGGCCACCACTATCGGCTACCATTACCACTATCTACCATATTCATGTCCTCCATAACCACAAACGTCCATCTCCACCACCACTAGTATCGTTGGCCACCACTACCTCCACCATAACCACCACCATTGCCCACCATCACACCTACCTCCACCACATAGGCCACAACTACCTCCTCCACCACTGTCGACCGCCACCATCACCATCATCCACCATCGTCCACCAATTACCAATGCTTCTACCTCCATAATCATTGTTGTTGCAACAATCTTTACCGTGCCTTCACCAATTGATAAAGATCTTCCAAACCGAACAAAACATAATTTCTCCTTTGTATGAATCGGGTTTTCTCAAAATACCATCAATTATATAAAAAAATTTCATTCAAATGTGGTACTATTTTATATTTATGTATATGAAAATAGTGTAAAAATGTTTATAAATTAAATTATTTACTTTATTTGTGTTAATTATAACTATTATATGATATATAAAATCATAAACTAACTTTTGGAGGCAACTTATCTAGTTTTGTCCTGTCCAGTCCTAGTCGTATCAAACACCAGACAAACACTTGTTCTGTCCAGTCCTGTCCAATCCTACCCTCTTGTCCCGTCCAATTATGTATGCATACCAGACGCTACCAAAAGAAGTCCATCCATTCCAAAACTAGAGATAAATTTAAATTCTGAAACTAAATATGAATAATTCTTTAAACAAAATTATAACAAATTTATTGCTTCTGTAGATGCAACTAGAACTATTGTAGACGGTGTAAAAGTTACATGTTTTTTTTTCAAAGAGAAACAAATCACTGCCAAGTTTAAATTCTTGAAAATGTGATTTCGAAAGACATTTCTCTAGTTTCAGAACAGGTGATGCGACTTAAAGATAAACCAAACCAACCAATATATCCCACATAGAGGAAGAGTTTGAAGAGGGTAGGATGTAGGCAGACCTAAAATCAACCACAAAAACTAGATAGATTGTTTCTGTGAAAACCCCTTGCTAGCAAAAGAAAAGATAACAGAGAACCACAAGGGTGGTGCCTGATTGGTTTGAGCTTGACTCCAAAGGTCAAAAGTACCAGGAAGTCGTTCAAATCCAAGGAGGAATAAAAATCCCCTTGTGGCCACAGAGGTTCAAATGCAGTGACTCCGGGCTATCTGCAAAGCAGGTGATCGCCCTGGGATTAGTCGGCTCGCATAGCGGGTTGGATATCCAAGTTAATAAAAAAAACGTAACAGGGAACAAGTGTGATAACCGGTAGTAGCAGTGAAGTGTGTGCAAACAAGCAATAGGTCCAGTGCGATGAAAAAAACTTCTAAAGCAAGGAACACTAGTCTACCAAACTGTAAAAGCAAGTAAAACTAAGTTTGGCATATAGTAAAAAGTAAAAAGATATAGAATGTAGGAAAAACTAGAGTAGGACTTTGGTACCCTAAGTGCCACCGGCCGCCCCTCCCCCTTGACTACCCTCTATCTACTACAGATCCCCCTCACATTTATGTTAGCTAGAGGCCGTCCTACATTGTCGGCTACCCTAGTCATGCAACTCCAATAGCCCCTATCAGAGGTTATGATTAACACCACTAACCCTACCGGCTACCCTACTCCCAAACCCATAGAAGAATAAATTAGAAACATGTTGAAAAATAAAAAAAAACCAACAATGGAAATTTTGAGTTGCCATCTTAGAACTGCAACAACGTAAAATCCGTAATGTATAGATATTGAATTCCAAAACATTCCAGTACTCCCATTTATTCCAAACAGGAACTCATAGCCAAATTAGGACTAAACAACATCAAAAGGAAATGGTTGAATGCAAGGACTTGCTCTTGCAGTCTTGCTACAAGGCATACCTCAATTTTGGAGCTCCATAACCTGCCCAAAAAATACCACACATGGACAAATTAGAGCAAGTTCATGATACAACGATCATACAAACTGCAATGGACTTGCAAAACCAATAAAAATATCAATTACTAAAAAAAGGGCAAAATACATCATAATGTAACGAAGTTTGTCTTAATTCCGATTTAGGCACTGTTTGGCAAAAATAAGCTAGCTTATTTTCTAAGTACACATTTGGATGCACATAAGCTAGCTTATTGAAATGCTACTTGGAGTAGCGTTTTGGTAACTTATTGTCACTTTTTCCAATTATAATCCTCATTAATATTAATTATTATTTATCACGTAATTAT